ATTTTGTCTAGTTTTATCTATTAATTTGTAAATAAGTATTACGGATTGTTAGGTATCTAAGAAATTTTTCATGTAGTTAATTGTTGACTTAAATTTTGCATGACTAAATTGATGGGAACGCTTTGTACTATTATAAACATAAAATATAAATTAAGTACTTAATTATAGAATATTATGTAAATATTTTTACACAAATTCACTTATACGTATAATGTTATGATGTTTTATAAGATTTAAACGTTATTTAATTCATTAAATATTTAAAACTTAAAAAGCAGTTTAAATATGTTATAAATAGCATATGAATAAGGCAAAATAATCAGTTTTTTTAATTTATTTAAAAGTTTGCTGATAACTACCAAACATTAATTGATTCTTTAATGTATTAATAAATTATAATTAGATATACCAAATGGTATCTATACTTAATAATCTTTATAGTACAATATTAGTCACTCTAGATTTAGATTATAAATATACCTTATGCACCTAATTTGAATATAGTACTTAGTACAAAGTCAAAGTGTCCACGTTTGTAATCTTAATTTTAATCCGAACGTACAAAGAGTCCACGTTACACACTTAAAATGTTCAATCGTACAGTGACCTAGAAATAAATAAGCTACAACCTACATCTTACTGTATTACCTACTACATACGACCAACCTATCCCAAGCCACACCAATGTCGATAATTTCGCGATCATTATAATATAAAATATTAATAGTAGGTATGTAGTAAAAATATAGTAGTAATATAGTAAGTAGATGATCCTTAAAAAATAAAATTATGAAGATCGAAAAGATGTTTACGATTTCGAGCTCCGCATATTTTTGAATAAACAAACTCATCTAAACGGCCTGCAGACATTGAACATTTTAATATTTAAACATTTATATTATATTTTTCTCATTTTAAAATGTAATACATACATTATAACAAAGGATTATAGAAGAAACAAGAAACTGTTAGAATTCTAAAAAAAAAACTTGTTATAATGTTTGTATTGTATATATATATATAGTGGGTTGGTCCTCGGTCTTTATTGGAACCCCGTTGGGCGTACTCGGGATAGACGTTTCTGAACAATACGGGTATGTATCTACATTCCTCATTATTATTTAAATGCCTATATGTATCTAAAATACTTTGTATAATTATTTTTTGACAGAAATGCGACCCAAACACTCCTCTCACATTATGGTAACTACCTAAGTAAACCGGTCATCAAACAATAAATATTGTTGTGCATTAAATCTGATTTCACCCTATGTTGTAGAAACCACTTAGATACTGCTCTCCCTGTCAAATATTTATAATATATATGATCGTTTACTATATATTCAATATTCTACCTTATGGATTATATACACAATATAATATGAAAGTATGAGCTACAATGTTATTTTTTTTTTATGATAAGTTTTCCTACAAGGTAAAAATGCTCAGCTACAGTCGCAGCATTTGTCAAACGTAATTATATTTTTGCTCATCAAAAAACTCATAGATGCCTAATTTGGTCATTCTAAGAATACAACTTAAACCGATAGATTTTAAAAATCACTTACTGTAAGAATTATAGAGAATTTAATTATACATAGATCTGTAAAAAATCTGATTCTATATATTTCATTTAAATYGTACAATAATTATTAATGATAAATCTTACTTTTATTCACTTAAATTACTAAGTATAACTTAATTATTTTATGACCGTTATGTTAAAACAATTTTTATTAAAAAAATATTTTATGCCTACACATATATAATTGTATTCGATTAAAAAAGATTCTGAACGAAAATGATCTAACGATAGATAAAAAACTTTTAATTTTAACAAATGTTCATAATTTTTTTAATAATTTCCAATTACTTTAATTAACCTCAAACATTTTCTACTTTTGAACCCCACACCCCAATAAAATCAAACTAGATTCAATATTTCACTGCAAAAAATACCTATCAAAGTTGAAATTGAAGAATTTTTTCTACTGTTGTGTCTTTGGACACACACACAAAAAGCAGGTAAGTATAAGTGGATGTCACTCTGTTGTACAGTAGGTTACAAATGGGTTACTGTAATGGATGCCATTATATTTAAATTTAATGATATACCTATATCATTGTTTACGAAAAACGATTCTGAGTGGAAACGGTTTGTCAGTCTATGATATTTTATACTATATTAATTATATTATTATTATTTCAAAAAAATAAAAAAAGATACCTATACAATAAATTCCAAATTAATCAAATCAGATTCATTATGTACCTGACTCATTCAGTCACTTATAGTAGGTATATAAAATTTGTAATTAAATATTAATATAATTCATTGAAGACATTAATTATTAATATTATAATGTTAAGTTATTTTAGCCAAAATTTTATAAGGTTAATAAAAAAAAGATTATATTCTAGAAATTTTAAGTACCCACGAATTATATTTTTAAATTACAATAATATAGCTAAAATTGTTATTCTTGAATATTTAATCTGTAGTTTCATCCAAATTTGCTTATTATTTTAAGTTTTTGGCTTCATCCAAAAACTTAAAATAATTATTAAAAAAGCGGGTAAGTCGTGTATGTCGCTCTGCTGTACAGTAGGTTACAAGTGGGTTACTGTAATGGATAATGCATATTTTACCTACCAGTTTTAAATAATTGCCAATATCTAATATTTTTATAATTATGATGTGCTGTACTGATGTACACAAAAATATATTTTAATTTATTAATTTTTTTCAATTAAATCTGCTGTAAACGGTATCACAACTCTATTTTGAGAATTTCGATAAATTATAAAAAGAAAATGTTTGGAAAATCATAAATAATTATTTCGTCTGCAACATCATTATTGAATAAAACTTTATTTTCCATTTTAATATTTTTCTTTTCATTCTTATATTTTTTTAGTCAGTGGCCAAATTACTATTTTTCCTACAATTTTTGCTGTCTTTTTTTGATGATTGGAACATTGGAACAGTCACAAATAAAATGTCATCTTTAATTCCTTGGAAAGTTAAAATTTCACTTGGTGTGCCGGGTTTATTTGTTTTTTTGTAGTACTTTATACCTGTGTTTTCTTTGTTCCATCCACTTTTGTCCTCCATATACTGCTTCTTTGATTGTTGCAATTTGAATTAGACTTAAATATGTTACTCTTATATTTGGCGCATATTTTTTAAGAAATGATCTTGAATCAGTCCAGAAGTCACTTGATTGAAGATTATTTTTTAGTAGGAAACGAAAAATCATTTGATTTTGTAACACCAATTATTATTTAAGTCGTCGTCAATTTTTAATACATTCCAACTGATGTGATAACAAATTAATCGTCCAAAAGATGCCCGTTTTGTTATTTAAAATTTGAAAATCGTAGAAAGTTATACCTATATTATAATATAATAAACTAGTAAATGTATAAAAATATAATACACATTTTTTTTACAGTATACTGTTAACAGTGTTAACAGTAGGTATTCACTAAGATATTTATTGTATAATATTATGATACGCCACATGGTTACTTATTTTTATTGAGATTTTACCCTAAGATGGGTAGTTATACTATAGTACGGGCAGAAAAAAGTAAGCCGTGAKTGTTACGCATCCATCGATCCATCACCCGATTTTTGTATTCAGGGGCTCTACGTTTTTGTAAGCAGTCAAACAACATCTGACGGCGCCGTCACACGTCCGGTATTTTAAATTTCGGTAGGTTTTAAGAATACATATTCTTTTTTAGTGCAGCTGCAAGCCACATTCCAACTCTCAGTAACTACATTTTTGTTAATCATTGTTTATAAATATTTTACGCAGGAAAGTAATTGGAGGACTCTTGACCTTGACAAAAAAACAGCAGTAGGTGCGTGACAATCGCGGCTCTCTTTTCGCTGGCCGTACCATAACTAACGGATATAATATGTTGGTGATATATGGTTTATATCTCCCACCCCTCAGACACCTAATATTGTAAACAATACAACATCTTTATAATGATTTCAATATATGTGTACACTGTATGTAAATATGTCTATTAATTATTAAATCTTTTATATCCTCCCCCCCCCGGTGTAAACCTAGTTAACTACTAACTTGATAGGCATATCTTAGTTTTTAATACATAACTGTAACACAAAACGTGAATAATATTATAAAACTGAGATAAAACCATGAAAATACTAAATAACAATAAATAAGTTACCGCCGTGATTAATATTATTAAAATTAAATTTGTCGTGTGAAAATAATTGGTAATTATTGAACGAACATTAATAAACATAAAAAATGAATAAATTAATGCTTTAAGGCGTTTATTATCAATATAATTCCAGTCAGCAAATAAAAAAGGTAGGCCATTTTCTTATTAAGATATTAAGGCTCACTACATTTAGTTATAAAGTACTGGCTTTAAATACGTTGACCTAATGAATGCTTACCTATAGACTTAAGTGCCTATATTTATTGCTTATTAGTCAACGACGAATTTTATGGCTCTTACTTAAATACACCACGGTATATAGAATAAAAAACACAAAAATAAAATTTGAAAAATGCATGGAATAATAAATCATAAAAATTCACATTCAACCATGCACTGTTATCGTAGCATTATAATTCTCGTTTTGTTAAGCGGAAGCATGCTACCAGACAGGCGGGGGAAGTTGTTCGACAACTTATGATAAAAACACACCAGTTGTTTTATCACGGTCCGACCGGCAACAACTGGCGGTCTTATTTTCTAAGACCATTATGGTGTACACAATATCTCTTGGGTATTCGCATATTTTACTGTACTCATATTATTGGAGGTCCATGTCCTTTTGATCTTAGATAGATCACTAGGTTAGGTAATACCTTGTAGTTATCAGTATTATTCCGTGAATTTAAGTTGCAACTAAATGTCTGTTGTGTTAGATCTATAAAAGATTAGATTCAAGTAGATTAATTGATAGAAACTTTGAAAGGTTATATTACACCGAAACGTTAATAATTATGTTCTCCCCAAATAGTGATGGTGAAATTGGCTTCGATGATATAAATATTCGGAGACAATTTTTATGGTAAATATAAATTATTTGTTAACAATAACTTATGATAGGCAGTTATATTTATATATTTTATTTTATTTTTTCAGCAATGTGTTAAAAAATTGTATATGCCTACTACTATTTGCATTAGCATTTGTGAGTGTGGCAACATTCCATGATTCCACTAAACTTTATGTACAATCAAATCCTGGTCTCAGTACCATTGCAAGTATTATTACCTTAGGTATTTTAATAGTGCTCGCATGCAATGAAAATTTACGACGCAAGAGCCCTAATAACTTTATTTTCTTGTTTTTGGTGACTCTAGCTTTATCGTTTTTACTAGCGACGTCTATATCTCATTACTGTCCCAATCATGTACTTTTGACTCTCAGTTTGGCTACATTTATATGTTTTGGTCTCACAATGTTTGCTTTACAAGTTAAAATAGATTTTATAGTTATGGGTAGCTTATTAATGATATGTATAATAGTTTTAATACCTGCATCCATCGTTAACTTATATTTTCCTGGAAGAATAATGACACTCATAACTGCATGTGTAGGGGCAATAATGTATTCTTTATATCTTATTTATGAAATCCAAATTTTGGTTAGCGGTAACCATGAATTTTCAATCTCTCCTGACGACTATATACTTGCAGCATTAACCATTCATGTAGACATAGTAAACACTCTAATGMATATGTTAGTAACGATGGTACATGACAACGATTGAACATTTTAAATTATACCTAGTTTTGATTATATTGGATATTTACACTTTATTAACTACTAATAATAGTAAACAAATGATATAGAAAAAATATTTAAATACACATGTTTAATAATATGTTATTTAATATCTTGTGTGAAGTAATTATGTATTTTAATAAAAATAATTCATTTTGTAGAAAAAATAGTTTAAGAATAATATTGTATTTGATTAACGAGCATTCCTAAACATAATATATATTTTGTAATAATGTAAACTTTTTACTACTATTTAAGTATTGAAAAATGTAAACAAGTTATAATTATTTTTGTTTCATATTGTTATACTCTATTATGTAATCATTACATATTTTTAACTAATTTAAATTTTCTCCATTATACTTGGAATGTTTATAACTTAGATTATTGAATTTAATTTAATGAATATTTTGCATGTAAAATAAAAGATCATTGGTAATATACAATGGTTGTAAAAAATTATTTGTTATGTATGTTTTTGTATTACATGATCTAGAAAAATTCAAGTTAAAGTATATATTGTTTTTAATATTTTGCATCATTAATTCTTTTACCTAATTGTTCAAATTTAAAAAGTATGATTTATATTGTTTTAAAGCCAATAGGTATCTGTTTTTGATAAGTTTATATATGGAAACTACTTAATATTATACATGTAAATTTTGGATTTATTTAGGAAGATTTAGATTTCTTAGTATTAGAAACAACACATTTTTCAATGTAAACAGTAAATTATCTATTGGTACATTATATATTAAGGTTAATTAATACATTTCTTAAGTAACTGAAGAAAGGAATTTTGAATATGTTTATATAGTTAGTGTATATTATATACTTAACCTACCTACTATTTTACCAGGTAAATTAAGAAGTTTAGATTTTTCAATGATTAAAACACACTAATCACGTGATAATCCTCATCTGAATTTTGGACGAATTTATCGTTTACTAGTTTGGAATAATTCATTTCAAAACAAAACAGATTAATGATCTTATTATATTAATTAATGTTTTAAGAAATGATCTTATATTATAAAGATAATGAATAAAATTATTTTATCATGCTTATTTATTTATTTAAAAAATGTAGTATACCTACTTACAGAAACAGAATGAAATACAATTTTCTAAAATATGAAATACCTAACTATATATTTACTTATCCATTCAATATTTATTAGTTTTTATAAAAAAAATTTAAATGTAATAATTAATTACATTATATAAAATGTAAAAAAATGTCAAAAACAATTTATGTTATTATGATTTTGTGATTAAATTATTAACAAGAATTATAATACCATTGCTATAGCTATTCAACTATGAAAATTGACTTAATATAGCCATTGATTTTATAATATACAAAAAAAAGATAATAATAACAAAATTTAAATCAATAATCTCTATTCTCTAATAACTATTGACTATTTGATTTACGTGTATAATATTATTGTTAACTGCTTAATGTACCTAAATTGTATACTTTATAAGTTATAATTAAAGACCGGATTTATATGTTTTTACATATCGTTACTGGGTCTATGCAGTATTATGATGAGGGTAAAAAATGTGTACGATTCCTTCAATTCTGAATGCATAGAAAAAAGTTTTTTTTTTGCATATTTGAGAATATTTCATCGGTTATAGAATATTTAACTCAAGACATTTAGCATATTTTGGAATATTTCGTAAATTATGAGAAATAATTTGTATTTTTTTTAATTTTAATATCACGGTTGCCAGGAAAATTTTTTTTTTAAATTTACAATTTATTTTTGTTTTATCATTTTGATGGTATAATATAATATATAATATATAATATACCAAAGGAATATTGTTTTAATGTTTTAATATTATACTGTTATATTTTTATTGTATTAACAAACACGTAAAATCAAGCAGAAAGAAMAAAAAGCTGAAATTGACAGACATCAATCGCAATATTCCCAATATTTATGCCGGACAATGCCGGTAAACATTTAAAATAAATACGGTACGCCGTATTATCAATAAAGACAGAGATAGAAATACCCAAAGTATTCGCTATCTCTTTCTAACACACTCGCTCGGTTTTATTTACACTAGTCATATGGGCGGTGAGCGTTCCAGTTATTATAATATAGTTCAATCGTTCAATGATTGTAATTTAAAATCTGTAGCATGTTGCATGTTCGACTGTTATCACTTTTTCTGTGATATTGATAATTTTAATTTTTTTAAATTATATGGGCAATACATAAAGCATTTCGATACGGTTACAACATCATACAGGTCATTTGCTGCCAACATCATGCCGAGCTTCCAGCTCAAGGTCAACAAAAATATTTTTCGGTGATCAATGGGATTTTGATAACACGAAGGTAGGTACTAGGTAGTAGGTACTACGTATATACTATTTAGTCTAATAGCCAGGAGGTAAGTATGTCAGAATATACACAGTCTGAACACGGACACGGTGAATTAGATGTCATGTATTATGAGAGGAGTGATAAGTATGGACTATGAAAATAGTCAACTATCTAATTATACCTAGTACAACTCTACATTCGACGGATCTCATTATAATAATATTTATAATATTTCTTTATCACGGAAATAAATTTCAATTACAGTTTTTTTTTTTATAATTTAATGATATCAGCTGTCTCGTAATTGTATTCTACCTACTACAGGTGGAGCGTTTCCCATCTTGCCGGTGCTAAGAATTTTATTGTGACATAAAATATTATAAATTTATTTGTGACGAGTCTCTGAAATCTGAATGAGAGTGAAGGAGACGCGCAATCTACGCATTCGAGAGCATAATATATTCGTCGCGATTTTATGTTATATATGAAAAGCGACGCCTGGGTCTGAGCAGCTCGCTTAGTGCTTACTCACTCTAATTTATTATCAATAATCCATGATCGAGCAACAGTTCCAAAACACCTGTTTTTTATCTGTGGGTTTGTACCACAGTGTTATTGTTGAATTGATAACTGTGGACCGTCCGGCATTCCAGCGTACGACCGTCGACCGTGGTTACTGGTTAGTAATTAGTATCGTTAGGAGACTCTAATGGTTCACATGTTGGTTAGTCATTGTTCCTTGATATATTTTTTTTATTATTTAAAATTCAAATTATGAGTGCCAACGGTCTTCATAATGAAACACATATCCCACTGGCGTTCGATGCTGGATCTCATTCAATACGTTTTGGGTTCTGTAACAACAGTTCGCCAAACTCGGATATACCATCCGTGGTCGGTGGCATGTTGGATGGCACAGAGTCGGTCGGACATACGGATCGTATCAAGCAGTGCTCAACGTATTATGTGAATATCAACTCTTTGTGCGTTCCGCGTGAAGGTTAGTTTTAAAGCAAATCCCTGATGAAAAGTTCGATTTGAAAACATTCGGACGAAGAGTCTTAGCCCATTTTTCTAGTTGGGCAAAAAGTCTTTAAAAATAAATTATTCGATTAAAAAATTTCAATTTTAGAAAAATTATTAAAATATAGGTATTTACATTTAATTTTCTTATAAATACTACTACTATATTTGGTTGTTTTTTTTTTGCACTTAGAATAAACAAATATAATTGTTCCATATAAAAATGTACGAGTAAACAATATATCCAGGACAAATGTATAGTCAATTTATTACAAAAAGTCAAAATACTAATTCCAAAATTACATAGCATTAATTTCACAAGATTTAACTATTATTTTTATGTGATCAATACAAAATAATTTTGATGATACCAGTGATTACCTACCTATA